ATACGGAAAAAGTCGATTTTCAGTATCTTGTATACGGAAATATTTACGAATTTATTATACTGTTTGTCTACGTTTTTAATATGTTTATTAAACGTATTATTTCCGTATACTTTCCTTATACTAATTATTTATAGGGAAGTAATCACTAATTAACTAATAACTAAAGGAGGATCCCAGTGTACTTTTGCTTGTAATACAGAGAATCATCATATTCACACTTATTGTAAATTATATAAGAAAAATTTACATTATGAAACTATTACTCATGACTGTACTATTGGTTATGGATTAAGAAAAATTCAACCAGATATGGATTCAAGCTTTTTTATTAATAACACTTGATGGAAAGAACCCCTTGTAGTTATGATCGAAAATAATTTCATATATTTACAATTTTTACAACAAAACTTAATCGATAACTCATTTGATGAAAAGTTAATCGTTAAACTTGATTAAAATGTAGATTTCAAATCCTTACAAAAAAAATATTTTAACTTATTATTTTTATTTTATTATTTTCTATTTCTTTTTATTATTTATTCATTTTGGTGAAAGCAAAAGTGCTCGCAGTGTGACAAACAGCCAAGATGAATGAACTATTATATAACAATTTATTAATATATTTAACTAAAGAAGAATACCCCAATAATTTTAATCAAACCCAACAAAACAAATTGAAAACACAATCAAAACATTATCAAGCGTAACATAAACTTTTATACAAAAAGAACTGTAATAATACAAATGACCTTATAAGAGTACTTAGAAATTTGAAGTAGGACCTGCTCTTTATATGTTTCATAATGATTCTACCGCAACACATACTTCAAAAGATAAGATGATAGAAAAACTTAAAAAACGTTTTTATTGGCCACAAATGTTCGATGATATCAGAAATTATGCATAATCTTGTGATAGTTACCAAAGGAGAGGAAGAGTCTTCAGAATCGAATCTTTACATCCAATTTCAATAGAAAAACCATTCTATTGTATAGGAATAGATTATGTAGGACCTTTACCACTATCAAGTAAAGGAAACAAATACATAATAGTCACTATGGATTACTTAACTAAATGGCCAGAAGCAAAACCTGTGAGAAATGCAGATGCAAAATCAACTATTAAATTTGTCTATAAAAATATTATTTGTAGACATGGATGCCCTGGAGAAATTCTTACAGATTGAGGAACACATTTTAACAATCAACTACTTAACGAACTTTTACAAAAATTTAAAGTATCACATAGGATGTCGACCCCATATTATCCACAAACTAATGGATTAGTTGAAAGGTTTAATAGAACATTAATAGAAGCCCTCGCAAAAACAGCCACTGATCATATAAGAAATTGGGATCAATATATCGCATCAATACTTTTCGCTTATCATATAAATGAACATTCTGTTACAAAAATATCACCCTTTTTCCTTGTATATGAAAGGGATGCTAAATTACCAATGGATAGTAGAAAATGGAGGAGAAACCCATTCTGCTTAACCATATGGAAAAACAATTAGATCACCTGCCTATCATCCATAATACTGTTCAAAAACAATTACAAATTGAGCAGCAAAAATAGAAAGATCATTATGATAAGAAATTAAAAAAGCTAATTTCGTATCATATTAGAGATAAGGTTATATACTTTGAAGCAGCTAAAGATAAAATCCATACTGGAAAATTAGACCCAAAATGGAAAGAGCCTTACTATATACATGATGTAATTGGAAATGGTGCTTACAAAATAAGGCAATTAGATGGAAGATTATTAAAAGCACCCATGAACGGAAGTCTTTTGAAAAAGTATATAAGTAGAGACAATAAAACTTTTGCCTAACAAAACATTATGAATTCATAAACATGAATTTTGGAAGACCTTTATCAAAAAAAACCCTTAAATCTAACAATAATGTTACCTTTTCATCAACAAGTGATGCAACGCCTCAACAAATAAGTTCTTTAATGCGACAACTTAGAAGAGCTAGGAGTTTAAGAAATCAAATAG